GGCAAAGTTTTGCCTCATTGCATCTTCCCACGGGGTCTCTGATTCAACAGAGAGGCCTCCATCAATTCCTTTGAGGAGGTAGTGCTACCCAAGGTTCAAGAAGGTGGCTACTGGAAGACCAAATGTCTGGCAACAAGACCCTGCACGATTGTAGGCAAGCAGATGAACACAGTTATAGCTTTCAAACAATTTCTGCGACAACATCTCTACTCAACTCACGTCCCCAGATAGCAACAACATTGATTATTATGCGTGGAGCGCAGTTGAGCGTGAGACCAACAAAATCCTTGTAACACCAAAGATGAACTGAAGGCGAGGATTATGGCAGTATTCAACAACTAAAACAAGGAGACTCTCCAGAAAAGCTACAGATAATTGCGAGGTTGTCTTGAGGCCGTAGTTAAAGCCAATGTCGATATTATTGAATAAATTTACTCTTTATTATGTCAAGATACTTTTGAGTAATTTGTAGAATATATATATATATATATATATATATATATATATATATATATATATATATATATATATATATATGTATATATGATAAAAAAATATACATACACGCAGATATACTCGCACGTACGTATGAATATATTTTCTTCCTCAGGTGTTAGAAACAGAGTGTCAATGTTATGAGACAGATCTATAATTATATATTAGGAATATACATAATATCCCACCTCGATAGCACGACTAGGAGATTCATGCAGTTCCTGCGAAGTCACTATACAGTTACTTAACAACGAAGACAAAGCAATTAATCAACAGTTCAGAAACATATATATATATATATATATATATATATATATATATATATATATATATATATATATATATTATTTAAGGACATTTAAGTTAAATTTTAAATTTATCCTATATTAGAACTGTTGCTTTTGTGAGTGTTTTTATTTTTTGGTAAGTCTTTTTCTGTTCATATAACCTAAAGATGTAAATGTATATACAATTTTCATAGAAATGATATTTTATAATACTTTTCTTGACCTTGAAATTCGTTAGATAATATATCGAATTACATAAAGAAAGGAAATTAAATTATCATCTCATGATATATATTTTATATATCTTATTTTTGCTTTGTTTGAAATCTAAGACATTATTTTCAGTTCAATTCGGGAAGCCGTCCTTTCGAAATAGGAATAGCAGTAATAGAAAAAAGGTTTAATTAGTTTTAAATAAAACTGATTAAGGATCCAGTTTGTTAAAGGTCGATTGAAAACCTGGCCTCTCACGAAAACTTTTACTGCCTTTATTTTGACAGTAATTTTCATCATATCTGCGTTTCTTCATGCTCTACTTAAGTTGTGTACAATTAAATGATTTAAGGTTAATTGTCCTGACTTGAGATTTTGATGAATTTATTCCGTTATGGTCAATAAAATCCCATACTATTGATTACTCGATAGAAGTGTCAAAATCATCTGAAAGAGATGGAAGGATCTAGTCTCTAATATAATGGGCATTATTGTTTACGGCAGAAAGAAATTCGATAGAAGCAAATCGTTTAGTTTTCATAAGACTCACATTATTAGTCCCTTTCTTCAGGGAGACTCACGTAATGCAGCCGGCTCTGAAATTCTCATTATTTGACAATCATCTTTTGCCTCGTCATGTCACGCAAAGTTGCCGTGTGTAATATTCCATCTCCGTATAAACAGTCTAAGCATAATTCAGTCCTGTACAGTTATTTATCATTGCCCAACATTCGCCAATTTGACCCTCAGGCTAAAGCTGTCTCAAACAGACATTGACGTCAAATGATTGTGATGTCCCTTATGCTTGTTGTTATACAAGTCCATAAACTGGATGGCTACATATGCACGCTGTGAAATTCACAGTATGCACAAGAACTCAGAGAAACGATAATATCACACAATCGAGGATATTAAAGAAGCTTTTCTCTAGATTCAAAAGGCAAAGGGCGTATTCGGGGAGATAAAAGCTAACGTCGGCTACATTAACTAAGAACTGGAAAGTTCTAAGTACCAAGCACCGAGCTTCGCTAGTGTATAGTCCATCTTTAAGAACATCCGGTTCTTGACATTTTATCTTCACCCTCACCCCAAGTTTCTTAGAGGGGATGAAAAGAATGCTGCTATCAATTTCTTCATGCTACATGACCTGATTGTTGTTGGTGGTTCTATTCATATTCTTGAAACCAAGTTTTAGGCTATTTTATCGATAGATTTCGTTATATGTACACTTGGCATGGAATATCTATCTATACGTATCTATCTACATATACATACATACATACATATAATGAAAATTTCTTCGATTTAACCAGTAGAGAAGACAATATTTATGAATAAAAATGACAATAGGAAAACTGGTAATTGCTGACGCATTTCGTCCAATTTGGACTTTATCAAAGCAAAATACGAAAATTAATTGAACAAAGTAACTAATAAAAACAAAACAGAATGTACCTAGCAACTGGAATGTAGAGACCTTTTTTTCATATTTTAACTGAAAATAACGTCAGTATTTGTCAAGTGTGGAGAATATTGTCATTATATCTGTGTTGATGTATTTCAACCATTTTCTTTTGATTCTATGAATCTGTTGTGTATATTTGTTTGTAAGGGCATAAAATCAAAAGAAAATGGTTGAATACATCAACACAGATATGATAACAATATTCTCCACACGTGACAAATACTGACGTTATTTAAAAATAAAAAATATGAAAATAGCGTTTCTCTACATTCCAGTTGCTAGGTACATTCTGTTTTTGTTTTTATTAGTTACTTTGTTCATTTAATTTCATTGTCGTATTTTGCTTTGATAAAGTCCACAGTGGACGAAATGCGTCAGCAATTACCAGTTTTATTATTGTCATTTTTATTCATAAAAGCATATATATATATATATATATATATATATATATATATATATATTTATATACATAGCTACCACTAATTTTTCGATAAAAAAGAATCATATCATGATTAGAAATGTCCCAATTATATGTCATTATTAAGAGGAAAGTTTAAAATATTTTTGGGATTATTTTATATATATATATATATATATATATATATATATATATATATATATATATATATATTGAAACAGTGTTAAAAATTACAGCATTCTTTTTACGCAGGTATAGTCACATAACGCAAACTTCACTTTAGTCCAATTGCTGCGAATCACACGAAAAATCTTTCTTTCCTCATCAAGCTTGATTTTCCTAAAACACATACAGAAACCCACACACGCACACACACACACACATACACACACACACAACCTATCATATTATATTAAGTTATTAGCAGATAATGTTAATATTTATGAATATTTATAAAATAACACTTCATATTAATGATTTAATGTTCTTTATATTCAATGCGAACAATTAGCAACAACAAATATGAAGAAAATAGTCCACATGTAACTAATGGAAATAATGAGAATATACCATCCTAGAAATTCATCCAGAAGAAATTAACTCTTTATTAAATTGAATAATCTAGTATTTATTAACCGTTCTTGTTCTATTTCAATAGATTTCTTTACGTGTTGTTATTAACAATCTCCTAAAAGGATGCGATACGTTATGTGCAGCTTTGTAGTCACGGATAACTGGCGATATATTATGAAAATTATGGTTTCCCATCGTTCATATTTTGCTTACTTTTTTCTTGTAGAGTGGGTAGTAAAATTTAATATTCGCTGATTTTGCAGGAAAAATTATTTCCAAATATAATGCATCAATCAGCGGCATAATCAGCCGCGTGCCAAGCCATTAATTGATTAAAAAACAAAAAAAAAAAAAAAAAAAAACGAGTGTAGACATGATCAGCACAGGTACATTCATATATCGATACATCCATATATATATATATATATATATATATATATATATATATATATATATATATATATATATATATAAATATATATATATATATATTGTTTTTATATATAAATGTTTTTATATATAATATTAATATATATATATATATATATATATATTATATATATATATATATATATATGATATATATATATATCATATATATATATATATATATATATATATATATATATATATATATATATATATATATATATGATATATATATATATATATATATATATATATATAAAATGATTAAAACTGGAGATATGATATGAACAGACTGAGATAGACAGTCACTCAGACAGACAGATAGATAGATAGATAGATAGATAGATATAGATAGATAGATTGAGATAGATGAATGTAGAAAACACTGAGATTGACAGATATTAACAGGCTGATATATATATATATATATATATATATATATATATATATATATATATATATATATATATATATATATATACAAGCTAGATATTAATAGGGTGATATATATATATATATATATATATATATATATATATATATATATATATATATATATAGATAGATAGACAGATAGATAGATAGATCGATAGATAGATAGATAGATAGATATTATCAGACTGGATAGAGAGATATGAACAGACTCGCATAAATATGAGAACATTAAGACGGTGAAATCAGAATGCCAGAAATTATACTAAAGTTAGTTTAAAGAGCCGAATTCACGGGTAACATAATTAACTAATGAACATCAAACCACACAAAAAAGTGAACATATCCTCAATTTCTGTATTCGTTTTCTCCATAACTCGTTCCCTGATGAAGCTTTAGTAAATGTGAAACATTTATTCTGATAAATGTTTACAGTTTGTCCTTTATCTTATCAAGATAAGATAGATAGATATATCGATCGATTAATAGATAGATAGATAGATAGATAGATAGATAGATAGATAGATAGATAGATAGATAGATAGAGAAACATTTGCCGGAGCAGCTGAGTAATTCGTCCATTATCCTAATGAATTATGAATATAATTTGTTCATCCTTAACAGCACTTTAATATTGAAAGCTTCTCTTATAGAAAGATAATTGTTCCCATAACCTTTTCACATATCAATGAATAACATCAGTGGAAGAGCCTTGCAAAGTGAAAATGACCCTAATTACAATTTTATTCTAATTGCTATGCCGTTATTTTTTTAACTTTTTATTTGTCCTTAGGTTCTATAAAACCACATTCCAAGTAATATGCTTTCTTCCGATTAGTTTTTATATCCTTCTTTTTACTCATATTGATCATATTTTATTATATTTGTTGGGCCTCAATATATTTTTCTTCTGTTAATTGTACACGACGAGCAGAGCAGATATCTGATGTTAGTTTTAATCATTATCAACCTGAGTAGAACACCTTTTTTTTCATTGTTTTCATTTTTGTTTAGCGTTAATTTTCTCTGACGAAATCCACTCTAGCAAGTTAAAGTTTTTACTGCATTTTAATCACTGAGGTGCCGGCTATGATAAGATTATCTCTTTTATAATTCTCCATTTTAAAGGTGCTTAACAAGTTATGGCATAATAGAAATAATTCGAAATTCATTAATGCGCTGGCCATAGATGTATGCATAGCGTCGTTCTTAACTCTTTAACTTACGCTCAAATTCTCTGGGGAAATGTAGAATCCAAGATTTCCTTCCAAGTTAAGAGGAAATATTAATGTAGACTGGGTACTCGGGCTAGATTTTGCAAACAGTCTTGGAGTAATACAACTCTGAAGTCGAAAATTGTTGGGTGAATCCACTCCATAAAAAAGTACTTGCTAGTAAAATGCCAGCGACTACACCTACCTTAGTACGGCTGTGGACTTGTACTCTACAGGGGATTGTACAATGTTAATAACGCTTAACATGTTAATTTAAATAAATGTTAATTTGTATCACTACGTCAGAATTAATTGTGTTTTTACAATAGTAATGCTCAGTTAAAACCAGTTATTATTTGGAGAATAAAAACAGAAATAAAATATTAATTATAGATATTGAAAATAATGTGATCTTAAGTATATATTTATGGAACAAAAGAAAACAAAAACAGATGTTGGTATTGAATATGACATTCTATTTTGGGTGGAGACATGCAAAGGAACTTACGCAAAATGGATGGATAATTCCTAGTACTTCCGATTATCGCTGGTGATTTCCAAAGAAATAAGTGACAAAATTTGTCCGCTGAAACGTTTGAACTGTTAAAGATCCATGACATTCCAGCCACAAGGCCAATCAAATGCCTGGTTTATTTAATAATAAAATCTGTTTAAAAGAAGGGTTACCGCGTAAATATATTATCTATCGATTTATATATCCATTCGTATCTATCTATCTATCTATCTATCTATCTATCTATCTATGTATGTATGTATGTATGTATGTATGTATGTATCTATCTATCTATCTATCCGTTCGTATATCTATATATCTGTTCTATCTACCTATCTATATATCCGTTCGTATCTATCTATCTATCTATCTATCTATCTATTAATTCGTATCTATCTATCTATCTATCTATCTATCTATCTATCTATCCGTTCGTATATCTATATATCTGTTCTATCTACCTATCTATATATCCGTTCGTATCTATCTATCTATCTATCTATCTATCTATCTATCTATCTATCTATCTATTAATTCGTATCTATCTATCTATCTATCTATCTATCTATCTATCTATCTATCCGTTCGTATATATCTATATATCTGTTCTATCTACCTATGTATATATCCGTTCGTATCTATCTATCTATCTATCTATCTATCTATCCGTTCGTATATCTATATATCTGTTCTATCTACCTATGTATATATCTATTCTATCTATGTATATATCTATCTATCTATCTATCTATCTATCTATCTATCTATTCATCTATCTATCTATCTATCTATTTATCTATCTATCTATCCGTTCGTATATATCTATATATCTGTTCTATCTACCTATCTATATATCCGTTCGTATCTATCTATCTGCCTATGTATCGTCTTATAGATACACACAGACACACACATATATATATAATTCTGTTGCAGCAAATAAATATATATTAAGTTAGTAATCTTTTAATTGAACTCATGCAAATATATATTGTTATACTACATATACTCAGTAAGCCGATGGTATTTAAAAATGTGCTGACAGAAAAAGATTAACGAAGCAGCATGTGGTACCTCCACAGAACTGAGGAGACAGACCGTAAAGGATCATGCTGCATTCTCAGCTCTGTTTAATAAATAAAAATAACCTATCACAAATGTTTGATCAATATAAGTTTCAACTTATATTGATCAAAAATATATTTTGCTATGTGAGGCAGCTTCTGGGTGTATTTGAATGAATGGCTTGTAGCCAACGGATTTTAATTTTTTGTTAATAGGTGCCGTTCTTCTTTGGTCTTGTATGTTAATTATTATATTTTAAGCAAATTTAAATGCCATAAATTCTGAAAAATCAATTAACCAACGATGTGAGGCTAACCGTTACCGGAAGAGTTCCGAGTGGATCTGAAAGAATTTGAAATGATCAGGTTCAAGTGACTAAATACAGGACATCAATTACGGGTATCTACCTCTGATTTGTTGTTCTGTAATTATCTTTACAATAAACAGTTGTGTATACATCAAAATTCACTATTCTGTATGACTGATAGATTTGCATTAATAAACATTATTCTTTATTCAGATAAATGGACGCACGCACACACATGCACAAACACGCGTGCGTGCACGCAGGCACACACATATATAGACACACTTATTTTAATTTATGCGTAGTACGTAGTGGGTAGAAAGCGCACAAATTTTTCTGACGGTGGTAGATCTGAAAAGCGAAAAGAACACTCCTATCCGCGCCTTGTTTAAAGGAACATCGCTATATATAATAAAAGCTAAGGCCCCGAAACCGTTTGTGCGTTTGTATGTATTCCCGAACGCATGAATGTGCATCTGCGCCTAGGGTAGGATTATTTATATGGATGTGTCTGTGTGAACCAAAATGCGTACACCTGTATATATTGTGTTCATGTGTCTGAGAGTGTCATTCAAAATAAACACGCAAACAGAGTCAAACAAGCATAAATAGATACAATATTCAAAATAAACCAGTTTGTCTGATAATCGCAAAAGCGTAAAACCGCGGATCACAAACTTATATCCTTACAATTTAATATATATATATATATATATATATATATATATATATATATATATATATATTTTTTATATATATATATATATATATATATATATATATATGTTTTTTTCTCAATACTGTTCAAGAAATTAAAGCGCCTGCCAGAATTAGTATGGGATGAACTTAACAGAATTGTGAAATTTTTCCATACGAAAACTGAAAATATCTTCGAATCAGTAAAAAAAGAATGGAATCAATTATCAAACTTATTCTTTGAGAAGCTTTTGAAAAAACGTGCAGCACAAATCAAGGCTAAGAAGGATATTTTATCGATAGCAAAATTTGATCATAATTTGTTTTTCTTGAAAGTTCATAACAGTTACATTTGATGTCAATTTAAAAAAAAAACGATTTACCAGGGATGGCCTCAGACTTTTGAAATACTAGTAAATATTTCTGATCATCTTTCTTTCAACTACTGACAATTTCATATGCACTCACAGATAGCTTGAATTTAGTAGGAAATGTTTCTGAGTTCATCCTTTTATATTGCATTGCTTACATATCTATTTTTTGTATTACATTGAGCACTGTGTAGGTAGCAGGTTCCTGTCTTTAAGACAACATTATTATTCTAAAAGGACGTCTGCAAATGGTACATGGGCCGATAGCTACGGACATCGAGAGTTGGCAAGACGTCGACAAAGGTCGAACACGCTGGAAATGCGATTTACGCCGAAGGCTGGAGCGAGGAGAGGAAAAACGAAGACCTGCAATCGGGGAGAAGTGTGCTCAACGGAATGAAAATATCGTCATCGTCATCTTGAAAGAGTGTTTTCACATCTATTCGTTGCAATCAACACTGCCTCCCCCGTGTAACACGACTCGGAGTTTCACGAAAAAGGCAATTTTCAATTATTGAGCATAGATTAATCGTTATGTAATTTAAATCTTAATAAAAATATGTGGTTACCGCAATGTTGGCTCAGTCATGTATTAAACGCGGATTACAGTTTTTTTTTCGTAAATATATATTTGGCATTTAAAATAAACGGGATTTATATGTGTATGTAAAAAAGAAATTGACAGCTGCGAATATATTTCCTTTTATATTAACCATAAAGGGGTATTACTAGTTCTCTTAAAATACATAATTTACAATAAAAATTAACGCATCTGAGTAGATGTTTATTTTTATATCTACATCTAACCATCAAGTATTTTCTCTTATATAATAAACAAAGGTTATTTAAGTGTTTTAAAATAAATAATTTTTCAATAAGTCATAAATTACATGTATTGCCCTTCCTATTTTAAAACTTGGTTAAGCTACAATATGCTACGTAATAATGGGAGGATTATCACCATTCTTTATGTGCTAGATATTTTTGAGAGAACCGTGCTGTTTATGCAACATATATTCTGGTAACTATTTTAAATTTTATATTGTTCCACTGAAAATCCTTCGAAATTTCGTTTCTACCATCATCGAATAACATTAGGCAACATAAAATACGTAAACATCACCGCTCAAAATAATGTTGTCTATTATTGTCAATAAATATATTAAATCCATACCAGAATATTTTCTTAATTACATTCAGCTACTTTCATCAAATTACATGTTTTACCAAGACAATCATTTGACGAATTTTTAATTACAAGATAAACATGCCTTTACTATCAAGCATTCCACACTTATATCTGTCCTTTCCACTTTGACATCTGCACCCGTCTTAATTTTTTAACTATTCTTTTTTATATACGCCCGATTTGTAAAAAAAAACAAACTTTCTTTTTCCAATATAAATATATCATATAATTACTAGTTGCTTTCGTATCATGAAAACATAATCACAAAAATATAAATATTTGTATTAAAAATGCACTAATTAGTTCTTCATGGTAAATTTTCGTATTGATTATTAGAACGCATCGCCTTTCATAACAAAGCATTATAATGTGGGATATTAAAAAAAAATTACAGCGATAAAAGCCAAAAAGCTTGACGATGGTCGGTAAGGTTACATCGAGATATATCGGACACCAAAAATTAATTAAATTAAAGTTAAAAATCATCACAACTTCACCCTTTCTCTATGTACAATTTTAAGTGATATTTATTTTTATTTCGATCCATACCTTTCTCTAGATAGATCTTGTTTCAAAGACACAACAGAGTAAATAATCTGAAGAATTCCTATCAAGGAACGAAAAGCGTAACATAGGATTCTTTTTCCAATTTTTCATTCAATTACATATTTAAAACATTGCCGCATTTTATATTCAGCTTAATCGTTTCAAATTATTCAAAAAGTAACATCAATAGATTTATTTGCGATGAATACGAAAACAAAATATCTATGAAATCAGAGAGTGTGATGCTTTCTTGCAGTGGTAAATATACTCGAACAAGGAACATTTTATATCACACGATTTCAAACGAAAGAACAGTAGGAAGCTGGAGAAAAGTGCGGCGGTAAAATGTCAGCAAATAAGAAGAAAAACAGTTGAGTCAACAAGTAGAACAAGAGAATAACAACCGTTAGGATAAAACAATTGCTCAAAAAAGGAAAACGAGCCACAATCAGAGGTGGGTTCGGAAATATGGAAGAAACGAAGCGACAGTAATTGCAGCTTTAACCTGCAGGGAAGCTGAGAATCAATCGAAACTTGTACTTTGTCAAGAGGTAATGGATGTTGGCAGAGGCGTCCTTGTCTTGGAGAGAGTGGCGTTAATTTTAGTGCAAGATTTCGCAATTGGATGCGAAAGAAGAAATAAAATTTTGGGAAAGTGCTCCATGGTGGGTTTCATTGCTAAATGTGCTCCTGAGTCATTTAAGGATTAAAACGTGCAGCAGCAGCTATCTATCTATCTATCTATCTATCTATCTATCTATCTATCTACTTCTGAGTATATATATATATATATATATAGTTTATGAAAAACTAGGTAATCCGTATGGGTAAACCTGAGAGCTCAATGTAAATCCAGACTAAATAATTTAAATAAAAACAGACCACTTTAATGTCCCATGTGATAAATTATTTCACCACAGCCCTTTTAAAGGACTGCGGATCATCAGACTTTACTTCCAAACAAAAAATGAAAAGAGAATTTACACATTTTTGACGGGCCGTATTAAACATATGTAAATTAACGAAGTGAGGAGGAGAGGGGGGAGAGAGAAGACATGAGCGTGTTAGCAGATATTGACACATTTAAACGGTTAACTTAACGGAAGTTATATATTGAAATCGAAGGGGTAGAGAAGAAAAAATCCATAGAGAGAAAATGAGAGAAAGAAGTCATGAGAGAAGGTGTCACTAATTTTCTTCGTAAAAAAAGGCCTAGAAACAGACGCTCTTATTTTGTTTTACTTTGAAAGTGTTATTTTGGGGGTTCATAAAGATTATAATGTTTGATATAAAATTGAATGTCTCTAAAATGTCTACAAATAAATTAATTTGATGTTTGTTAGTGATTTAATTTATTTTTTTAATTTTGGGGATATTCTAAGTCGATTAGAAAAATATTCATAGAAAGTGAATTAAAAGAATAAAATTTTATTGTAAAATATAAGATTACTTCTAGTAATGTTTTTTAATCTCTTTAAAAAAATATTATTGATCATTAAGTTGACATCTCTATCCGTTTGAATTTTGTTCATGAAATTAACTCGTGACTGCTTCTAGATAGGTAATCTCTTTTACTTAAATTTTAGTTAAGTTAATATGGGGTAATATTTGAAGGTAATATTAAAGATCTTGCTCTGTCGTATACTGTATACACACCCATGCAAATATCACATATACATACGTTCCTTTACATGTGCAATCACTCATACAGGTACCCATGTGCCGATATACACAGGTAAATTCATGTATTAACACCAACCTAAATGTCAAAATTTTTTCCAATTAAAATATTCTATCATCAATAATGATTATTAAAGGGTAATATAATTCAAGTTAAATTAAATTATCAATTTAAAAAAATTTCCTCCATATTATAAAGAATTTTAAACTCACACTTCCAATTGGAGAATATTAAATGAGAAAATGCGATAAAACATTAATAACAGGACTGTAAGTCCTTCTTTTATAATATTCTATGTATCCATAAATATACACATATAGACATAATACCTATATATATATATATATATATATATATATATGTGTGTGTGTGTGTGTGTGTGTGTGAGTGTGTGCGTATATACTCATACATACACACATACATATGTAGATATACACACATACATGCATAAGTACATATACACATATATACCCACATATATACACCCATATATACATACACATACGCATACATATACACATATATACATATACACATACATATACACATATATACATATATACACACATATATATATACACATATACACACATATACACATACACACAAATATATACATATACATACATACAAACATATTAAAATCCATACTTAATTACATTATTGTTTCTATGTTCTCCCATATTATATATATGAACTCATAAATTCTTATATTCATACATACATACATACACTATTTATGAACGACATACATGTACCCATCTATATATACACACCCATACTCACACATACATGTATAGAAATTATAAAAAAATGTATACATACACATCCGCTCATGTACATGTACCCACATATCCACACACACACACATATATACACCCATATATACATATAACTACATATATTTAAAAAAAAACAACAAAAAAACAGATCATCTTTATACATACAAGTATATATACATACAAATTCATAACCATACCCACCCACTCCAAAAAAGTTCCCACAATACACAAAAATAACACATGCATGCCTATCTTTCCATATAAACGAATATACATATACATATCAAAAGACGTATCAATGTTCAAGTTCAATTACATAGTTATATACATACAGTTATGTGTTGTCACTTATGTGTGCATAGCAACATTTCCAAAAGCAACAAAAAACAAGATCATGTAATATTAGTCTTCCTATATAGTTATTCATAAATATATTTAGTTAGATTTAGGTTGTTCTTATGTCGGCATTTAAAAATTACTTCATTATGTTTGTTTAGTAATAAATCCGGATCTTTATGTTTTATTATGAGGATTTTTTCTTTTATGCATAAATCGGATCTGTCTCTGAAATTTATTGGAGTTCTGCCTCTCGAGATTATCTTCCACTTTATATGTGGGGTTAAGACACCATCCAACAAATCCCAATAATGCTTTCACAGTGCCGTTTGGTTCTTTTTACATTTATCCTTGAAGGACTGGCGATGGTTATAAAGTCGATGTTTCCAACTTGTTCCTATGTAAATCCTTTTCTGCTCAAAATTCTCTTTTTCAATGAAAATTACCAACAATCTCACAATCTTGGAAAGGGAGTATGTGTGCGGGTATGTGTGTGTATATAAATAATAAGTGTACAAGTGTAAATAAACACAGAAGCGATCATCTGGCCAAATACTGAGGATGTAAGAATATCGATTGCAATTACCTATGTGTTACCGTTATTATATATATATATATATGTGTGTGTGTGTGTGTGTGTGTGTGTGTGTGTGTGTACATATATATATATATATATATATATATATATATATATATATATATATATATATATATATATATATATGTCTGTGTGTGTGTGTGTGCCTGTGAATAATTCTCAGATATTACATCAAAAATATGTAAATACTTAACACAAATAAATCATGTTTCGATGTGTATGAACACATCTCATCATGCGTTAGTAAAATGAAGAATATTGTCCTACTTTTGTATTGAGTCCTTTTTAACTTGAATGTTACGAACGTCTGAATTGTGTTGTATTCGTTCTCATTTTACACATACACACACATTTGTATATATATATATATATATATATATATATATATATATATATATATATATATATATATATATTTATAAAAAAAAAAAAAAAAATCCTTAAATGTAGTTAAAATGAAAGAAATGTCGACGTCTGACGTTTCGGTTTAATAAACCTTTTTCAAGACAATATTCATCAAAATACAATTCAGTTCAATATGACAAATACGATGGATATAAAAACACAAGTCTTATTCAGAACAGATAACTGAAAATTTTTAAAATGATCAGCCTTCCGTCTAACATGGTCACGCCGTCGTCACATGGGCGACGCTTTCATAACGTATTCCTAAAAGTTTGTGATTATTTTGAAATGAAAAAGAAAATGAAAAGAATTCTATTAGGTTCTAAAATTCTTATGTGTATGCTTGTCCATCGTATTTGTCATATTGAACAGAAAGAAAAGCTCTTGTTAGAACGCAAGTAAAATTAAACAAAATCTTTACCGTAGTACATTGTCTGTCGTTTTTAATGAAACATATATATATATATATATATATATATATATATATATATATATATATATATATATATAAATGTGCAATCAATTTACAAATTCATGAATTATTCACACAAAAACAAATGCAAAGGTTAATGATTTAATTGGCGAGAAATCCATCGTCGCAAACAATTCAAATAATATACAAAAACCTCCGAATCCGTTATGAATGAAATGATCCCTGTTTCTATAAATTTCTGCCGTATCAGTTCTTATTTTTACTACAAGCTTTCCTCTGTTCCTAGGTATAGAATAGATGTTGTTCTTGTTTTTTCTCTTAGTAATAAGAGGACAACGAAAATATATGTATTGTTGTATCCGAAAATGCTATTGGAAATGAGTTATTGTTTTTGGAGCGCGCAGTAGCAACGCTGAGTTTGATTTTAAATTTTTAAAAGTTGTGCGTTCATATACAAATATGGTGATGAACGAATTTTTTACTGGTAAATTTTCTGTCAAAGTGGCATGAACTATATTGTTCAATAATTACAGTAATGTCGCACTTATTATCCAAAAGTCGCACTTGGATCAGTTATTTAAATTACGATAAATGTGCAATCAATTTACAAATTCATGAATTATTCACACAAAATTTCATTCATAACGAATTCGGAGGTTTTTGTATATTATTTGAATTGTTTGCGACGATGGATTTCTCGCCAATTAAATCATTAACCTTTGCATTTGTTTTTGTGTGAATAATTCATGAATATATATATATATATATATATATATATATATATATATATATATATATATATATATATATATATATATATATATATACGATGCGATGTATCACACATCAAACTATCAATAATTCATCCATTCTATTAGACTGAGATTATTTTAGCTTCAATATCTCGCATGATACAAGATAAGACATTGTAAATAATGTTTTACATGAGATAAGAAGTATATTCGCTGAAGCCAAAAAGTGGCCAAAATTGTTTTCATTATTTGGATATGTGATTTACTTCATTCAAAAAACAATTCTTGATTATATTGTGACAGATGTCATATCGCTGTTCATTTTCGTTGTCAAAGCCGGTGTATTTCTCTGTATTGTTTCTCTGCATTTCTCTATTTTTTTCAAACAGAAGAGACGGCTGAAAATATACATTTTAAGAAACTTGTTTTTCTTTTGTATGAAGATGAAATATCCGAATTAAGTTAGACAATGTTTTATGTAATTTATGAGAATGTATCTAATGTGTCAATAATGGTTTGCAGTTATGTTGAATAATGACATGCGCTTGTTTAGAAATGTTTATTAAAAAAAAAAGAATAGACGACATTGTAGGCTGGAGAGAACATATTTAAGATATTTAAATCAATCGTTCAAATCTCTTCATAAAAGCATCGTGAAATTAGTCGCTTTGGTGTTTGGTCGTCACATGAAGGAAGCAGAAACAAATAAATAATTACGATAAAAAATATGAACACATTTCAGTGTAAGATTTGGTATTTCAGAAAAGAAAAAAAATGTTTCTTATCTT